ATGGATTTTGACTGTTGCAAAAAGTTTTTGTTTAATTCATTAAGCTGTAGACAGTTTAGGGCATATTAATAAATTTGTAATTGTTCTTTGCTTTTCCCTCAAGGTCATTGAACCCTACAAGAAGGTGCTAAGTCATGGAGGCTATCTTCCAAGCAGTAATGAAGCCATTATTGTCTTTTCCGCATGTTTCCTGCCTGACAGGTCACGCAAAGACTATGACTATGTAATGGACAACCTTTTTATGTAAGTTTCTATCATATAAGTAAGTTAAGATATATGTATGATATACAGCAAACTCTCCATAGTACAGTTTAAAAGGCTTATGAACTATGTGTCTTGTAAAGAAATGTAGATAACTGATTCAAGAGGGTATGTGTGCCTGTTAATCTGTTATATTGAATATATCCTAGGAATCATTTGAATATAACCTAGAACCATTTCTTACTGTTTATGATTAATGAAATTTAATGGAATATAGAGTAATCATTTGAAAATAGATGTAAAGGAGAGATTTCTGTTTAGTTCAGATAAAGACTATGTTGAGATTCAGTTTTCCACTATTTTGATGTTTCTTTATCACAGTTGCTATGAAATGCTGATAATGTTTAGAGTATAGAGATAAGTTTAGAGTCAGAAAATGCTCCTATTTTGTGTATTTCCCTTGTTCATTAATGCATTATATGAGGACCTTTTAATAAGGAGTTTATAGCGTTTTGATACTCTGGTACTGGACTAATTGTGATACTTGTTTTCAGTATCCTAAATATTCTGGATTTAAAACTATTTCATCTTTTTCTTCTCCTTTGATATTTTAGATAGCATCATGAAAAGTCGTTTGATCACTAAGTTGAATTTCAATTGTTGACCAAACTCAAAAAAAAGAAAAAAAAATGTTTTCTTTTACTAACGTCATACTTGATTATTTCAGGTATGTCTTGACAACCTTAGACCAGCTGATTGCAGAGGACTATGTATTGGTTTACCTTCACGGAGCCACAACACGAGGGAATATGCCGTCCTTTGCTTGGCTTAAGGTAGTTGCCATGGTTAAATTGAACTAGTTTTTTGCACTTTAAAAGCACAAAACACCAGAATGTAGGACAACAGATTATTTGATACCTTAACATTATATTGATTTTAAAAAAGAGAATGAGACAGATGTGCTGTAATATTTACTTTATTGCAATATGTATGATATACCCAACCATCACACAACAGGCAGATAAATATGAATATGAAAAATGCACACAAGCTACTCATCTACTTCCCTACCTACTTACTTGCCCATGTACCTCCATCTTGCCTATTTACCTATCTACATATGTACATACTTACCTATCTACCTACCAACCCACTTACCTACCTTCCTACCAATCTATTTATCAACAACTTACCAACCTACCAACCTACCTGCCTACCATCTACGTACATCTCTACTTTCTGTCAATCTGCCTATCTTTATAACTATCTTTCTGTCTTCTGTGCATCTGTATCTATCTATCTACCTACCTACCTACCTACTTACTTACTTACTTATTTATTTACCAACCTACTTACATGCTTACTTACTTACCTACCTATCTACCTACCTACCTGTGAGATTGCTTCCTTCCTTCTATCAACAAAACCTTTTCATCACAGCACAGAATAGATGCCAAAATCTTTGAAAGCGACCTCTGACCCCTATTTCCCCCTCCTCCAGCGCTGCTATCAGATGATTGACCGACGTCTGCGAAAGAACCTGCAGGGCCTTTACCTGGTCCATCCGACATTCTGGGTCAAGACGGTGGTTGTCATGACAAGGCCTTTTGTCAGGTACTACTGAGGATTGTATTCATAGGATTTTGAATTATGCTATTTTTTTCCTCTAAAGTTAGTTTTGAGTTGTGTGAATATGTAGTTTATATTTTGTGTATTAATTTATTTTTATGTTAAATCTTATGTGAATAGGTACTGGGATTATGATTCATGGTTTGATTTATAGATGTTCATAAAAGATGTCACAAGATAGGAGTATTTCTTTCTTGCAAAATAGATCCTCATCACTAAGCTTCTAAAGCATCCAGATCTCAGAATTATCTTGATACTATTTCTTTTCCTCAGAAACTTTGTAACCACTCTATTTTTATCCATGACACACAAACCCCCTCCCTCTGTCGACCTATTAATTATGACACTTTTAGCTCTCCCACTTGCAAGACGTATGCCTTTCTTCTTGCGTTTATGTAAAGCATTAAATTCTTCTGTTCTTGTGATATGAGCTTAGTTGCAGCCAGTGCTTGTGATTGCAAAAAAAAGCAAGCAAGAAATCAGATTTCTCTTATCAAGACATCTTTAGCTTATTCATATTTTACTCATAATTTTACAAGGAAGCATTACAGGTGCTAATCCTTTTTTAAATAGAATTTTGCTCCCACACCAGGAGGAACTTCTGCTGCTTCACAAAAAGTCAGACATCTTATCAACATTTCAGCTATTAAAATAAATGTCTCTTGCTGTTTACTGCCAGAAAATGTTTGAATGAACATCCATCTCCCTTGTCAGTGCATTACTTATAAGATTACTTTGACACTATAATGATATCCCAAAATCACATATGGGATAACCTCCTTTCCACTTTTGCTCCTAAAGTTCAGATTCTTCCTAGCTGAGTCTGTCTTTCTAGAATATTCTCCTTTCAAGGAATGTCTATTATCATCAGTAGGGATTTTAAGTATGGGCTTTTATATTTTCTTATCTCATTTCTTTTTCTTTATTCTACCTCTAATCTTGCATAATTACTGGTTTTGAGAGTGTCACTTTGAAGTGCATATATACATATATAGGGCATTTATTTACTATCCATTTTAACACAAATTCCTTGCCATAAAAAACACCATCACAAAAATGTATATATATGGCTTGTAGGTATAAAAATATAATGGTTTATATTGGTATGTTATTGTATTCTTCTCTTCCAGTGCCAAGTTCGCAAGGAAACTCAGGTTTGTGAATAGCCTGAAAGAATTATCAAGTCTTATCCCTATGGACCAAGTATGCATCCCTGACCGAGTGAAACAGTAAGTTTCAGATAAAAAGTGTAATGCACAAGTAACACCTTATATTGGAAATGAAAGAAAGTAAAGAAAAAGGCTACTAGAGGAAGGAAGAATAGAGTAGTTTTTGAACTCTCAATGTTTTGGAGGATTTCTTATACTAGCTTCAGGAAAAATGCCTTTCCAAAAAATTTGTTTTGGACATGTGTAAATATAAGTTAATATAAGGTCACTTATAAAATGATTTTACATAACACTGTGATGTATATCATATTGTTTTTTATATGTGATGTTTAATTACCTATAAAGTCATATAGTCTGTGGTTGAAGTAGTGCTGATGCTTTTTGAGTTTAGTCAGTATTAAAAAAAAAGAAAAAAAAAAGAATTTTCTTTAAAGAAAGAGACAGTTTGCTCTTGGCATCACCATGACTGAAATGTTAATAATAAGATGAACTGAAAAGACTCTCAGTTTTGACTCTCAGTCAAAATATTGTCCTAGAAATGAATGTGTAAAGAGAATATGTAAATTCTATATTTTATTTAGAAAGTAGATACTATACTTACAAAATGTAGCATATCTTTCTTAACTGATCATTGAAAAGCAGATCATTTATTTTTTATTTTTTGCAAAGTACTGAGATAAGTAACACATTTTAACACCAGTTTCACCTTTGCAGATATGATGAAATACGTGAAAGTTTGTTAGAGAAGGCATGAAGACGTGAGTAAAGCTTTAATATGTGTCTAAAAGAATTTTACTGTGATTATTATTCTATTATTCATAATTTTTATGATGTAGTGACAGTTGTAACTTTACACTTCGGAGGTAATACACAAAACAGGTGTACAGTAAATAAAAAGAGATACTGTTTTTTATTTCTTAAAATTCAAGAATTTAAACATCTTAATCTCTATTAGTAGTAATTGATTTGCTTATCTATACAGATGGAGAGCATGGAGCTTGGAAGGTCGAGAAGGATCTTGGCCTTAATCTTAGACATAATGAAGACGTACTGAGTCTCTGTCAAGATGGAACCAGTGCTGTTACCTGCATTGATTTCATCCTAGAAGAAGCGAATATATGGACATAGTGTATAGTACAATAGAATTCCCTCTTTGAAAATGATTTCTTTGTTGTTGGTTGTGGATTGACAATAGTGTTGGTCAGAAGTTCTGTGATGAAAAAAAAAAATAAAAAAAGGACTTGTAATATGTATGCTTAGAACCCAGTATATGTATAATTTGACTAAGCAGTGAAATATTGAAAAAAAAAAAAAAGCAAGTGACCCAAAGTGTTGAAAGTCAACTGTTGCATCGATGTTACACGTCCGTATATTACTTGTTTCCTATACTCAAACATAAAAAAAGAAAGAATATGTGGACAGACTGGTTGTGATTCCCAGCGAACCCATGAGTTGTAAGTGGGCGAGGATCATCTCTGAACATTCGAGCACAAATTATCACCCTTTCAGATCTGCAGCAGTAATGCTCTGATGTACTTTATGAATGGCAGTGATGCAATGATGCTCATGTAAAGGAATTAAGTTTTCTTCTTCCTCTTCTTCTCCTTACAGAAAATACTATTTCCTTTTCATATGCAGTGAGGATGAGATGTGTGAGATCACTCTCCTCTGGTACATACTGTTATTATTTCCTGCATAGTAACTGTGAGTCACATTTAACATGTTGAATGTGCAATACACTAGTGTCCTGGCATCTGCACATTTAGTTATGGCTTCATGATAAAAAGAGAAAAAGTTCCACAAACAGGGGAGCCTGACCTGTTATGAGAACTGTGTGCCATCATGATAAAAACAGTCTTGCAAATCAATATTTTGCCCAAACCTCTGTTGTAATAATAATTGCATATATACTCACTTCTATGGTATTACTCTTCTACACATAGTAAAATTAATATATTGCACCCAAGCACATACTAGACACACACACATGTAAAAACACAC